GGCCCATCTGTGTTGGCCTTGAAGATGGGAGACGAATCGCGTGGGTCCCACGCCTCCAGCATCTTGGCGCCTGGGCTCTGTGAAAGCGTTTCCAAGGGGCAACGCCCAGACCTCTGGATGCCACCTTGGCCCAGGAGCTCGCCCGCCTCTCCTCTGTGCACAGAGAAAGACTCAGGAAGCTCGCGGGCAGCACGCTCTGTGCCTCCCATCTACACTGGCCACAGGGAGCGAGGGGCACCCAGCACACACCAGGGTGGCTCAGCAAGACTGGCTTGGCGGTCCTGGCCCTGGGGGCTCAGAACTGCCACGGGGAACCCGGCCCACCGCCCCCCAACCCCTCAGGCCTCCGGGCGAGATGCCTGGAGACCCACATCAGAGGCTCTGGGTAGGCATAGCCCCTGCAGCTGCCACACACTGCCACTGCCTAGAACACTGGCCCCCAGGTGGGTGGGCTCCAGAGTACCCCAGGTCCAGAACTCTCTGGAGGAGACAGCGATGTGGCCTACTGAATATCTCACCAACTCAACTCACCGAGAGAGTGCCCCTGGGGTTAGGGTCCCTGTGACGCAGGGAGGACACTCCCAACCCGAGGGTTTTCTGAGACTCCTTGAAGGATTAACGGGGCCCAACACAGGGCTTGGGTGGCCTGGGGGCTGTCCCTCCCTGACCTGGGCTGATGCTCCTGCACCCCCATGTCCCAGTGAGGGGCACAACCTTGCTCCCTGGGCAACAGTGACCCCTGCTGAGCCACGGCTCACAAAGCCCGCACAGATCAATGGGCTGCATCTCATGGCTTCTCCGTCCTGCGGAAGCCACCTGAGGCCAAGCTGGGCAGGTGCATCAGGCCAAGCGATACTCTGCTCCCCAGAGGCCCCTGAGCCTCCCTGTGACCCTCATCCTCCCATTTAGCCAGCTGGTGGGGGGCAGGTCATGAGGCCACTCAGCTGGAGGGGCAGGGCCTGATGCACGCAGGAGAGGCAGGGCTCAGGGCCAGAGCTGTGCCCTGGACATTGCCAGCCCTTAGGGCAGAGCTGTTGGAGCCAGGAAGGTGTCACGGGCTGTTTCTTGGCCTCTGCTTTGCGCCACTGGCTGAGGTCCCAACACAGGGAGGCCGGCTGATGGACGTCACAAACCCCCAGTGTGCCCCATCCTACTGTAGCCCTGGGGAGGTCCCTGCACTCACGGGCCCCCTGCACTCACGGGACCCCTGCACTCACGGGCCCTGTCCTCCAAAGCCTATCCAAGGGTTTTGCCCACAGACAGAACCATTGACCTCGACCCCATGCTAGGACCATACCGGACTCTTTCGGTTGCAACTGCAGAACACAGGTCAGAGCAGCTCACACAGAAAAGTCGCCACACGGCCAGATGGGACACCCAGGGATGCAGCTGGCTTCAGGCTCCCCAGGAACCAGGGCCCTGACCATGGGAGGGCATGGTCTCCGCCTGTGCCCAGCTCCGTCTTTCCTCTGCTTGACTCCAGCCTCAGGAAGTGCCTGGGAGCCAGGATGGAGCCGCCGCACTGCAGGCTCACCACACTTTGAGTGCGCATGGCTGGGCGGCAAAGCACCCAGGACCCAGTAACTCGAAAGAGCAGCAGCATCACTTCTCACAAGGAAGGTGGAGAATACCCCAGGGGGACTCTGATGGGCCAAGTTTAAGCTGTGTGACCACCTTCTGCCCTCGCTGAGGTCTGGGGAGGCTGGACTGGGCCTGAGTGCGTGTCCACCCTTGGAGGTGGGGTTCTGGTCAAGCCCCACTTGGCCCGTTGGGCAAAGGATGGGGGTGATTTGCTGCCAGAGACATTGACGACAAGAAACTGACTCCTGGTGCCATCCGCAGGTGTAGATCCTGGGCAGGGCTGCCCAGCCCATGAGCGCCTGGATTGCACACGTCCTTGATACTGCGAGGCCCCAGCCTGCCCTCGTGGGACTCCCAGCTTAATGGAGATGCAGGCCATAAATAAGTGAATGTGTGAACAAACAAATAAGAACCAAATTGCAGGGGTCCCGGTATCCCAGCCAGCACCGCACCCGGCTCTGTGGGAGTGGCCAGGAAACTCCCCTCTGAGCCTCCCCTCGGAAGCCAGAGCTGGGTGAGTGAGTGGAGCCCCACCTGCCTCAGGTCCTCCGACCTAGAAAATTCCCGAGCTCAACCTAACTCCACGACCTGAGCCTTGACTTCCAGGGGCCAGAGCACGTGGCACGCCAAGGTCCCCTGACATCGGCAGGACCCTCTTCTGAACAAAGCCAGGATCTGGCAGGGCCCAGGCTCAAAGGACCCAGTTGGCGCCAGGACTTGCCAAGGGGGATTTTCAGGCCAGAACCGCGTGCTGGATCTGTGGGCCGGGCCCCAGGCAGGCGCACATGGACCCTGGTGGTGCAGCTGGACTCTGCTCCTCCTGGTTGATGCCCACTCCTAGGCCAGGGTCCAGGCAGGAGACCTCAGGGCAACCGAGACAGCAGAAGAAACCTCAGGGCCACGTGGCAACCTCACTGCGACAAGCATGGAGCCACACGTGGCATAGGCACATACAGAGGAGTGGCCTGAGGTCAGAGGTGTCCCCAAGCCACAAGGCTTATGGGGGAAGGGGGCGCTGTCCGACCCAGACCTGCTGGAGACAGCGCTGGTTTTCTGAGCTGTGCCACTTGCTCTGCCTCCGTGTGCTCACACATGGCCCTTCTCTAGGTCAGACAGTTCAGGAACAGCGCGGGGCAAGTGACAGGATCCTGGACGCAGGCTGTGCCGGCCAGCGTCTCTCCCAAATGCCCGAAGACAACGTGCTGGGTGCAGCGGGCGATCGTGGCAGTGAGGTCCCCTCTGCTTGGCTTGGCCCAGGATTTCCGTTGGGTCTCCTAGGCACTGCTTCCTGTGACTTCTCAGAGCACACTGCAGGGACTCTCGGGCCTGGCCCACTGCTGACCCCAGAGTGGGACACAGCAGGGCGGGGAGGGAGCTAGTGGCAGGAATTTGCTCTCAGGGTCCTGCATACTGAAGCCCAAGGTCACGGTGGCAGCAGAGCTGGTTCTTCCCCAGGCCTCTCTCCTGGGCTTGTGGACACCGTCTCCTCCCTGTGTCCCACAGGGCCATCGCTCTGTGCGTCTGGGTCTGAATCTCTTCTTAGAAGGGCACTAGTGGCACTGGATGAGGGCCCACCCTAACCTCCCTCAGCGGAGGGCCCACGCTAGCCTCAGTCACCAGAGGGCCTACCCTAACCTCACACACTGGAGGGCCCACCCTAACCTCGCTCACCACTTTAAAGGCCCTATCTCCAAACAGAGTCACAATCTGAGGTCCGGGGGTCAGGACTTTAACATAGGAATTCGCAGCCAACACTTTATTCTCCTGAAACCTCCATCTCCCCTCTGAGCTTCCGGCATTTAACCAGGGGTGAGGCATCCCGTGTGGTCCCAGGTGAGTGGAGAGCCGAGACAGTGAGGGCCCAGCCTGTAACTGACGGGCGCCCACTCTGAGCCGAGCCCATGACCGTGCTCATAGGAGGTGGGGGGTTTGACTCTAATTCCTCTGCCACTTCATCAACATCTATGCAGAGCGTCGCAGTGCGCGGGCAGCATGAAATATTCAAAAGAGTTCTATTATTGAATTAACTATTTACCGATTTATAATTTAAAAGATGTATGCCCAGCTGTTAACAAAGATTCCAAGCCGACTTTCGCTTCCCGGAACCGCCAAGCGCCACCGGCCCCCAGGGACGTCTCTCTGCCGGCTCTCACCCTGGTGCAGAGCGCAGAGGCACTCGGGGTGACCTGGGGGACACAGGCACACTACAGCCCCTGCTGCTCACTGATACCAACCCGCAGGGGTCCGCAGTGCCCCCAGCCCCATCCCACCGGCTTCCAGCTCTCCTAGGCTGGCTCCGCCGGGAGCAAGGACAGCTCCGTCACTCTCCCTTAGTTCAGAGCAGGTGCAGAGCCGAGGTCTGAGCCAAGCTGACCACGGGGGCGGCATCTTGAGCCGCGCTGTGACTATGAGCTGGGTACAGCTTCTCCTTCAGGGCGCACTGTCCCCGATGAGGTGGGCTTTTTCCCACTAGACTTTATTATTTAGAGCAGTTTTAGGCTCATTGCAAAATTGTGTGGAAGGCACAGAGTCCCCATGTGAGCACAGCCACCCCCATCAACCATACACTGCCAGCATGCTACACTTGCCACCGTGGCTGACCCGGCATTTACACAGCCTCACCCCGTGCCCAGAGGTACCGCCGGGCTCGCCCTCTACCCTGTGCGTCCCGTGGGTGTGGACAGGCGTGTGATGGCGTGGATCCACCACTGTGGGGTACTGCAGAGGGGCCCACGCCCTGGAGACCTCCCGTGCTCCACCTGTGCCTCCCTCCCTCCCTCCCCTGAGTCCCTGGCACCCTCTCGTCTTTCGGCTGCCTCCGTAGTTCCGCCTTCTCCAGAATGCCCTTGAGCTGGAATCTCACGGCGTGGGGCGTTTTCAGACTGGCTCCTTTCACTGAGGAATATGCATTTTAGTTTTGAGGTAGGTCTTTTTACTGTGCCCATTTTACAGACTGAGGCAGGAAAAGCAGCTCAGCGGAGGTCACACACCAGGGCCCTGGTGGGACAGGAATGGAAACCCGGCCCCTGATGCCCCTGCTGTCCAGAGGCCCCTGAGAGACGCTGGCGGGAACTGCACACAGGCGGCCCTGGGGACTGGGGACAAGGCCTGGCTGGACGCAGCTCCGTCCCCGGGCAGCTGGGACTGGAGGCTGCAGCTCTCAGAGCTGAGGTCTGACCCCTGATTCCATCTTGGCCGCACATCAAAGCACAAGCAGTAGTTAGCAAAGCTACCGCGAAGAGGCCGCCTGAGCGCCGAGAGCCCCACCCTCGCTCCCGGAAGCAGCGGAACGCGGTCGGGATTGCTCTGAGCTGAAGGCACGCACGATAAATAATCACTGTTTTAAGACTCCCATGTCGAGTCCCTAATGGCATTATGAGGGCACGGGGATTAAGCCCAGGAAGATAATTACCAGAATATCAGACTCCAAACCATAATCACATCTATTAAAAATGACACGCGAGGAAAATCTCCAGAATTACAGTGCGAGGGGGCTGTCGCCCAGGAGAGCCCGTCTGCAGAGATAAACGTACACACACAGCTGGGCCCCTCCCTCCCCACAGCCAGGTAAGCCTCTCAGGGAGGGGGAGTTTGCCCCAGGAGCAGACGGCAGACAGCATCTGAGTCAGGCGCTCCCATCCCTGCTGTGGGTTCAGGGCCACGGGTTTTCAGAGGCAGGAGTGTCCTCATTCTCCAGCACCACAGCTCCCAGGAAGGTGGGGGTGCCCAGCGCCAGGCAGGTGGCACTGCCCTGCCCTGCCCTGTTGAAAGTCCTCTGTGGGCACTGGGGGCAGCCTCCTCCACACCTTGTCAGGGAGCTGCCATCAGGAGGAAAGAGCACTGGCCCTGGCAGGTCAGCTGGGCCCTGGATACATCCGCAAACCCCCCGTGAGGGGCCACAGCCCTGGAGGGGAAGCAGCACCTTGTGCAGAGGTGCAGGAGGGGCAGAGGAGCTGGTGGGGGACAGGGTTCTCGAAGCCCCAGCCACAGCATTCCTTACGATGTCCTGACCACTGGGCCTGGAGGGCTGGAGCACAGAGGGTCCCCAGTGGCCACAGAGGAGGGCCACCCTCCGTGGGGAGCTGGGCCTTCCTGGGAGGCGTCAGCCCAGCCCTCCTGCATCTGAGTGGGAAAGGAGGTGAGGGGTAAACCCAACCCTCCAACACTGCTGATCTGTGAGGGCGAAACTGCAGAGAGAAGCCCCGAGGTCAGCGTCCCAGGGACGCGGGGCCAGGTGCAGCTGGAGGCCCGCGGGTCTGAGGCACCGAGGAGCAGGCCTGGCACTCACTAGCTTCCACAGCCCTGCACCCACCTGCCCGCCCACCTGCCCTTGGTGTGGAGCTTACGGGTGCCTGGCCAGTGGGTGAGGAGCAGGGTGGGCTGCAGCCCTGGCTTGCATCAAATCCCAAGTGGACACTCCCGGCTGGCCAGGCGGGGCTGCCCTGTTTCCCACCGTCGTGGGCTGAATATTCCTGCCCAGCCAGGGCCGTGGCTGACTTGTCAGAAAACCAGACCCTCCCGGGAGCACTCAGGGCCTGTCAAGGGGTCCTCGACATCGGCCACCAGAGGGGAAGATGGGCATTGCCCGGCGCCACCCACCTCCCATCGTACAGGTGAGAAAGCCAGGCCCCGGGCCACCTCCTGACCTCACAAAGGGAGAAAGGAAGGAGCAAGGAAGGAAGGATGGGAGGGAGGGAAGGAGGACGGGAGGGGTGGAGGATGCTGGGAGTTCTGTTAACAGAGCCCCGACATGGATGCCCCTTCTTGGTCCCCAAGGCTCTGATCAGGGATAACGGCTTGGAAACGAGCTGGTCCAGCATGGAGACTCCTGCCCCTATGTGTCCCCAGCCAGCCACAGGGAGATGCCGAGTCCTTTTAGGGCCAAAGAACAGCTCACTACCAGCCTGACTTCCCAACGAGGGATCTGTGGCGTTTCCACCTGTGAACAAACAGAAGAGCTTCCCCCATGCACGTGCGGGTGTAACTGACCTCATCCTCACAGCACCTGGAAGTCCCGAGTGTGCGTCTCTGCCCTGGGAGCTCAGCCCTCCCTCCCCAGGGCATCCCCTTCACTGCTTATCAGGAGCATGAGGCACTGCAGGCACCAAGGCCAGGTGGCCAGGGTGTGGGGTGGGCAGGGCCTCGGCATCTGTGCCCACCCCTCTCTCTCTGGACAGTGTGGACAGGAGGCGGGGGCGAGGCCATCTCCTCTGCCTCCCTGGGTGTCCGCACTATCCTCACGATGCCCCCCCCTCTGTCTGCATCTCCACCCTGCAGCCCCTCCCTGAGCCTCTGGACCTGGGCAACCTCACCTCCACCACCCTCCCAGCCCTGAGTGGAGGCTGCTTCCTGCCTTCGCCCTCCAAGGCCCAGGCAGCCGTTCTGGGGTTGGACTCCCTCTGTGGAAGCACCCAGGGGGGTTCCAGTCCCTGGCTGGACGTTGGCTGATACTCATCCTGGGAACAGTCCCCAGAACCAGCCATCGCAGCGGGAATTCCGGGACGGTGGAGGCTGCTGTTACCCTGGAAACAGCGCTGCGCTTTCTACCAAGGAAAACCGGACACTGGCTGTCGGAGCCGTGCAGGGACATCACAGTCAACAGGACTGTCACTGTGTGGATCGTGATTGAGTTTCCTTCAAAGTAAGTTCCTTGGGGACCCCGTGGGGGCTGCACTTGACCAGGACTGTATTTTGCAATGGCAGCTGCAGAGAACAGGGCCGGCCGACTTCCGCTGCCCCTGGAACTCGCAGGGAGGCGTGACTCGCTCCAGCTACAGTCAAAGCAGAGACCTACGGTGGTGGCCCTGAAATAATCTCATTTCTTTTAGCCTCGGGGATGACTTCACCGAAAACGAACCTGCATGTAATTGAGCCGACGACGAAGCGCAAAGCGGAGGTCCCTCACGTGTCAAGGCTCTTCGGGGGACATTGGGCGTCCTTCCGGAAGGGCCAGGGCCTTGGACCTTGGTGCGGGGACACAGGAATGAAAGTCTGCACCTCCTGCGCCTCTCCGCGGCTCGCTTGCCAGGGGAGAGTCCACTGCCCGGGTCCCTTTCGATCCCTTCGAAAGCACGAAGTCCAAAGTTAGCCTCACTGGGCAGAAATGAGGGCGCTTCCTCTGGAGGCTCCAGTACGGAATCCTTCCCAGCCTCTCCCGGCTTCCGGGGTCCACCGACGTTCCTGGGTTTGTGGCTGCCTCACTCCGGTCTCCAAGACCAGCATCTTCCAATCCCCACCCTGTCCCACATGGCCGTCTCCACAGGGTGTGGTCACGTCTCCTCTGCAACTCTCTGATGAGGACACTTGTGATGGAATTTAGGGCCTCCAGGGTTGTCCGGATATCCCCGCGTCTCGGGATCCTGCACCTTATATCACCCCTGCATGGACCTCGCAGTATCTGGCAACTCCCAGGGCTCCAGGGCTCAGGAGGGGAATCTCGGCGAGGGGCGAGGTGGAGGCATTTGCAGCTGACCACACTCCCTGGGGTGGGCCCCTGGGTCTAGTGAGAACGACAGGTTGGGGAGTGGCAGTGGCCGGGCGGGGTTTCACTGCTGCTGGCCAGTCCAGGACAAGAGCTGTCAGCTGTCGTGGGCAGTGGGGACAGAATGATCATTGGGAGGTTTAGCTCGGCATGTGCTTTCATCATGGCTGATTGATCAGGATCTCTGGGATCAATCAGATGGAAGGCCTAGTGAAGTGGAGCTCGACCTACAGGGCAGGTGTCCTCGGTGTCTACCCACCAGAAGCTTCACTTGTGGCGTCCCCATGAGGAGTCCCAGCCACTTACTCAGCTTCAGCACCAGCCAGGCCGCTCTCCCCAGGGTCCTGGAGCCTTCAGGAAGGTCCCCTACACACTCACAAGGAGGAACTTGGACACTTCCCCTGCACCGGCCCCAAGCGGGTCTGCAGCAGGCTGTGCTCGACAGCAGGGATCCAGCTGGGCCGTGTGGGAGCAGGCTGTGTGCCGATCTGCTTCCTGGAGACCCTGAGCCCCATGCAGCCTGAGCCCCATGCAGTCCAGAGGAAAGCGACACCTGTGGTCACGTCCACTTCCACGTGAGCTCCATGGCCTGAGTCACGTCCACAGTCCCGGAATGCATGATTGGACTGGACACAGTCGGCCACTGGGAGAATCCCCACGTTGGCCCCAAACCCACAGAATGACGCCTGTTGGGGTGGGGAGAGACAGCAGACACCCCTGGAGCTGCTCTCTACCCAGGAGAGGAAAGCCAGGGAGGCACAGCACCCTGTGGTGAGGCTGAGGCTGGGCCTGGAGCGGCAGGTGCCGGGATTCCTGGCACCGTGGCCTGTGCGGGAGGCAGATGGATCTCAGAAAGTGACCCTGGATAAGGGTTGCACAATCTCAACACTTAGGACTTTGGGGACAGATGACCCTTTGTGGTGGGGCCGACCTGGTCTTGACAAGGTGTTGGCAGCTTCCCTGGCCCTCCCCTACTGGAAGCCTGTGACATCCCCCGAATGTAACAATTATAAATGTCTCTGGGCACTGCCCAATGTCCACCCACCCCCCACCCCAACTGAGAACCACTGCTGGGGATTAGTCTTGACTTCACCCAGGGGACCCAGCTGCTGACACTTTTCCAACCATGGAATCTCCACTGAGGGAGTGGGTCCTCTGGGAGAAGGCACAGGACAGGCCACTGGGAACGTGGTTTCCTGCGATCCCGGAGCATGAGCTTCCACCTGGCACAGGTGAGGGTTCATCTTCACAGCCCTGCCCGGGGCCCGCTTCACCCTCCTGATCACCCCTCTACAGGGATCTTGCTCACCGGGAGGTCCTGGGGCCACCGCTCTGGTCTCCCTGCTGATGACATCACATCAGTTGTTCCTGATGGTCAGAGAGCAGCAAGCATCTTGCTTGACTTCGTAGAACACACACGCGTCGGAGACCAGCCAATATGTCCTTGAAATGTAGGGCCCCAGCGTGTGGCTGAGGGTCCTGCCGCCCTGGCCTGACGTTGCCATGCCATCTGCTGCCTGAGCCCGGACAGAGAAACAGCATCTGGGGGCCTCCTCGGATCTCAGACCCTGAGATGCTTCGCTGGCCTCTGCAATGTCAGAGGTCTTCATGGCAGATAGGGCTACTGTGTGGAACCTCAGAAAAGCTACAGGGGGGAGAACGCGGTATAGACGCCCAGGGCCAAGAGCAGTGCTCTCCCCCGAGGCCCTGTGCTGTCTTTCTGAGAAAAGCCCAGACCCAACGGCTGACCACAAGACATCCAACCTGAGGGCTCCTCGTCGGCCAGGCACTGTCTGAGCCAGGAGGCCGCAAGGATGAGCCTAGTGCCAGCAACCCATGGTCCCGAGGGACGGCCCGTGAGGGCTGAGGGAGGCAGAAGAAAGAGGAGTGGCGAGGCGGCTGGCACTGCCCCACACCCCCCTTCATGCACACCTCCTCGTCATCCCACACAGTGGCGAGGCGGCTGGCACTGCCCCACACCCCCCTCACATACGCCCCCTCCTCATCCCACGCAATACAGCTTCGCCCACCTTGGGCCGAAGACAAAAACTCGGGCTTGGTTCACAGCTGGTCCTGACTGTTTTCTGTTGACGGAAGTCAGCTGTGGCAGAATTACGGCTCTAACCCAGAGTCCTGAGAAGGCAGCGGGAGGGAAGCGATGGAGGAGGTGAAGCTCCCAGCCACGGTCTGTTGTCCACGTTGTCCCGATGGAGAAACAGGCAGAGGTGGAGATATACATCTCCCAGCTCAGGAGACCTGCTGATGGCCCCGGCACGAGTGGGGCCTGGAAAGAGGGGGACTGGAGGATGGTAGACAGGGAGGCTGAGGGCAGGGTGTGCGGATGGCCCTTTGGGGGGGGCACGGGGATGGCAGACATGAGGGCACCGAGGCCATCCGCTGCAGGGGATGCTGTCGGAATCCAGGCAGAGCCACACTCTGGGGAGGTCCCTTGTCCTCTCTCTGGGGCCTGCTACCCCATGCTTGCTCAGAGGTCCCACCCAAAGTGGCCAGGATGGCAGGGATGGGGTTTGTCATGGGTTGAGTTGTGACCCCAGAAAGATATGTTCATGCCCCAACTCCCAGTACCTGTGAACGGGACCTTATTTGGAAATAGGGTCTTTTTTTTTTTTTTTGCAGTGGGGAATGGACTCTTGCTCTGTTGGCCAGGCTGGCGTGCAATGATGCAATCTCAGCTCACTGCAATCTCTGCCTCCTGGGTTCAAGGGATTCTCCTGCCTCAGCCTCCTGAGTAGCTGGGATTACAGGCACCCACCACCACACCCCATTAATTTTTGTATTTTTAGTAGAGATGCGGTTTCATGTTGTTGGTCAGGCTGGTCTCAAACTCTTGACCTCCAATGATCCACACGCTTCAGCCTCCCACAATGTTGGGATTACAGGTGTGAGCCATGGCACCAGCCTGGAAATACAGTCTTTGCAGATCTAATCAAGTTAAGCTGAGGCCCTCCGGGTGGTTTCTAAGCCAGTGTGACTGGGAAAATGCTGCGTGGAGACAGACACGTGGGCACAGTGTCCTGTGATGACAGAGGCTGAGGTCGGGTGAGGCAGCCACAGGCCAAAGAAGCCGACGAGGAGCCACCGGGGACAGGGAGGGTCTTTGGAGGGAGACGGCCCTGCCCATACCTTGATTTTGCACTTCTGGCTTCCAGACCAGAGACATTCCTGCAGTCAGTTCTAAGCCACCTGGTTTGTGGTGCTTTGTGGTGGCAGCCCATACTCTAGAGACCGCGCACAGCTCAGCGACACGGTCTCTCCTGGACAAGGTGAGCCGGGCGACCAGCACAGTCGTGGGACCCGCATACCGCACGTGCCCAAGCAGAAACCACCACTGGGGCCCCTGGCGGCAGCTTTTCCTGGACTTTGTGCCACTCACTCACGGGTGCCTGGTGGATGACCTTGGGCCCCTGAAGTCATGGGGGCACCATGGAGGGGGCTTCGGGGAGTCCTCTCTGGGCTAGACTTGCCTCCCTGCTCCAATGGCTCCACCCCGCGCACCTGCCTCTTGCCTCTCTTGCCATCGAGGCACTCAGCTCCGTACTGTTTCCGGCCATGGAAGTCAACTCACAGAGCCTCTCGGCAATGGCTGGCAGGCGCCCTTGCAAATCTTTGGTCCACGGCATTCCCCACCCCTCTGCTGGCCTAGTGAAGACCTAGTTATGATGCCCATTGGACAAGCACTCCCTGAAAGGCTGGGCTTCTATCTTCAGGTGCAATTTATGTTTTAAACAAGCCATGGTGCCATTCTGCAGCCAACATACCCAGGTCCCAACATACCCAGGTCCCAACATACCCAGGTTCCAACATTGGTTGGATGCAGAAGGAGCTCCTTTCACTCACACCTGCAGACCCACTCCTGGAACACTGATTTCCTGTCCCTAGGACGTTGGACTCTGCTGGTTTAGATGTCTTGGTCCTCAGCAGAACGCTTCCCCTGGTGACACAACAGCAGGTCCGCAGAGCTGGAAGTCAGTGTGGGCACTGAGCTGCTGGACTCTGTGTGCTCCAAATCCACAGGTAAGCCACAAGCTCCTGTGCCAGCCAAGGTGACAAAGCCCCTGCTGAGGGGGACCCTGGGATGCTGCTGTAGAGGAGAACAAGCAGCAGCCCAGGGCATCTCCGGGCGCCTCTGGGTACTGCCATGTGGAATTGTGAGAATTAATAGGCTGCAGCCACCAAACACAGAAGTAAAGGAATGAGCAGGGCCACTGAGGACTCAGCCCCTTTGGTGACAGTAACTCAGTTTCCCCCAACAGGGAGCAAACCTTGACCAGATGAGAGGCTGAGAGAGGGCAAATGAAACAGAGAATGTGGGTAAAAGAAATATGTTCCCATAAATATGCACTGCAGCACATGACCAGCTGCAAAAACCGAGACCACACAGAAACATGCACATGCGTACATACACAGGTGTGTGCGTGTACGTGTGTGCACACATGTGTAATGTGTGTAGATGTGTGCATGAGTGCATGTGTTTGCATGTGTGTGCATGTGTGTATGTGTGCATGTGTGTGCATGTGTAATGTGTATGTGTGTGCATGCATGTATGTGTGTGCATGTGTAATGTGTGCATATGTGTGCATGTGTAATGTGAGTGCGTGTGTGCATGTGTGTGCATGTGTAATGTGTGTAGGTGTGTGCATATTGTACTTGTGTGCATGTGTTGCATTGGTGTACATGTGTGTATGTGTGTATGTGCATATGTGTGCATGGTGCGTGGTGTGTGTGTATGTCATGTGTGCATGTGTGTATGTGTGTGCATGTGTACATGTGTCGTGTATGTGCATGTGTGTTCGTGTAGCATGTGTGCATATGTGTGTACATGTGCACATGAGTGCATGTGTGTTTGCATGTGGTGTGTACATGTGTGTGCATGTGTAATGTGTGTGTGTGCATGCATGTACGTGTGCATGCATGTGTGCATGTGTAATGTGTGTAGGTGTGTGCATGTGTGTGTGCATGTGTGTGCATGTGTGCATGTGTAATGTGTGTACATGTGTGCATGTATGTGTGCATGTGTGTGTGCCAATTCCCTTCTTCCTCCCCTTCTCTCTCCCATTATTGTTTCATAAATGGACGGTTAGCAGTGGTCAGCTTGACAATGTATTGTATGTGCTACAGAACAGCCAGATGATCTCACACTGACCTGGAAGAGCAGCTCACCCTACCCGAGACACATTCCACACCTGTGACCAGGCAGTGGCTCTCATGGCTGTGGGGCTTCTCCTCCTTTTACCGGAGGGTGGCGTGTGTTTCTTTTCACCAACAGGCCAACCTTGTCCAGCAGCAGCATCCCCAGGCCACCGCTGTCACTGTCTGGAAACCGCCATGCATGTAACGGGCGTGCACTGATGCAGGCTCCCTGAAGGGTGACTGTGCCCAGCATTTTGCTGGGGCCCCTCATCTCCCAGCCTGCCCTGCCGCACTTTGAGATGTGGGCAAGGACCCAACAGACTCTTTCTCCCTTGCCCGCTGGCTTCCTGTCGGGTTCTGCCCATGGGCCCTGGGCCAGCTGGGAAGCAAGTGCTGAGGAGGACTTGGCCTGGCCACCCCTGCCAGCTCTTCACCAAGCGGTGGCACTCAGTCCTGGCGGCTGCAGCTGGTTCTGGCCTCCAGCCTCTCTGGGGACCCCATTGAGCTGGTCCCACTGTGCCCTCCCTAGCAGCACCCCAGCTCTGAAGGGGGACCCCTGTGCTGTGGGGCTCTCCTCTGAGTGTCTGGAACCTATGGCCCCAGACTGCTCCCAGCTTCCCTCACTCACCAGCCCTGGGCTACCCTCAGGTGCTCTTGTGCCCTGCAGACAGCCGCGGCTCCTGAACCCGACGCCTTCATCAAGTCCCTCTGTGGAAACACTCAGTGTGACCAGTGCTCCTGCTGGACCCTGGCCAGGTCAGAGTTCTGGGGACTCGAGAGGCCACACAGACAGCAGCTCTGTGGGGCACCGACCGGCCATGGCAAGTGCCTGCCAGAAGCAGGCAGACTTCCCCAGACATTGCAGTCGGGAGCCAAAACGATGCCTGCCGAGGCGGAACCGTCCATCACTAAGCAGGATGCAGCGGTGACCCCATGCCAGCCACAGCCCCAGCCCCTCGCCCCCAACACGTCAGCTCCCTCAGCCTACGGAGGACTCATGTGGGCTGAACTGTGTCCCACAAAATTCATAAGTTGCAGATCTCAGCCCAGGACCTCGGAGGGTGACCTGACTTGGGAATAAACGTTCCTTTGACAGAACAATGGAGGTGAGGGGCCCACTGGAGTGAGGGGACCCTCGTCCACCATGAGGGGTGTCGTCACACAAAGGGAGGGTGTGGACACAGACACACAGGCAGAGAGATGCCCCATGAAGCTGCAGCCAGAGCCTGGGCAGCGCTCCCGGGAGCGGAGGAGCAGCGAGGAGTGTGCCACACAGCCACGGGTGGCAGAGGCCTGGGTGGATTTGCCCTCTGAGCCTCTGGAAGGAACTAGCCCTGCTCTTGCCTTGGTCTCAGACCTCCAGCCTCCAGAGCCGTGAGGGAATAAACGTCTGCGGTTCAAACCCCCACACCCGTGGTACTCGGTGGCGGCGGCCCCAGGACATCCTCACTGCAGCCATGCCAGGCTGAGCGCAGCCCAGGAAGGCCAGCGGCGCCGCCACACTCTGCAGTTTTCAGTCTGTCTGCAAGTCACCAGGTGTGGCTCCAACATTCTTCGCCATGTGTGCCCTCACAGCTGGTGCCCAGGCGCCTCAGGAAGGAAGTCAGGGTGCGGAGGCAGCTGCAGCAGCACAGAGAAGGAACATTCGCCACCCCGGCTGGCCAAGATTAGGTCTTGGGAGCCAGCATCTCAAGGCAGCCGGCACACGTGTAAAGGAAGCAGCCCTGGGAGGACAGCACCCACGTCACTCACCCAGCACTCACTCGGACGAGATGCCCTCCGGAGGGTGGCACACTCAAGCTGGGGCCCTCCCCACCAGGTAAAGCAGCAGAGACACCTCCCGCCAAGCCAGGACCTTTGAGCTGGGGAGGCCTGGACCCCCTCTAGAAAGAAGGTCCCTTCCACAGAGGCCGCATCTCCTGAAAACAACCCTGGCTGGGGCCCCGGGGTCCTGAGATGTAGCGATCTGTCCTGTTGCTACCTGGGTCCCCTGAGCAAGTTTTGAACCTCCTGACACCTGAAAGGGGCAGATATTGGCAAACCCACGGGTTGTACTCCTCATAAGGGTGTCTTTGAGAAAAGAGAAGTTGGCCCTGTGTGGCACCGGGTATGAGCCAAGGCCCAGGCAAGCTCAGGGTGGAGCAGCCGCTGGGGCTGGATTCACAGGCCCTGCCAGGGCCAGGCTAGCCTGGGACCGAGGGGCCACCACTCCATGGCTGGGAACTGCGCCTTCCCATGCCCAGCACAGGGCCGAGACCCAGGGCATGGCGGGGCTGGAGTCTCCTGCTGGGCCGCAGACCACCGAGAGCCGGGGGGGTAGCACGAAGGGGTCCTTGCTGCCCAGGGTGGGAAAGTCAGAGTTGGGCAGGTCCCGGCCACCCAGCCCAGGCCTTGCCACAGTGACTTTATCATGGAGACTCCCACTGCAGCAAGCCTCCTTGCAACAGGGCCGGCCTGGGTCACAGGAGGGGTCTCTGGGTGGTGGACAGTGTGGAGAGAGAGCCATCAAGGTCAGGCTGGCACCCAGGCCACGCCAGACCAGAAGAGTGAACGACCGCTGGGCCCATGAGGTCCTCAGGCGCATGGAGGTGCACATGCGTACATGCAGGTACATCATGTGCAAACGTGTGCACATGTGCATGCAGGTGTGTGCATGTGTGTGCACATGTGTGTCATGTATATTGTGTGGGCATGCATGTGTGGGTTTGTGCTTGTGTGTCCATGGGTCATGTCAGTGCATCTGTGTGTGGGTGTACCTGTGCACATGTGTGGATGTGGCATGTGTATGTATGTGTGCATGTCTGCTGGGTTGTGTGGTATGTATGTTTTGTATGCATCTGTGCATGTGTGTATATCTGCATGTGTACACATGTCATGTGTGTCACATGTCACGTGCATGCATATGTAGGTACTTGTCTGTGTGTCTGTGAGCTGTAACTCTCAGATGAGAAAGGAGAGGTTCTCCTGCTGTCTCCTGCATGAAACTGGCCCCTCAACCACTGCCCCACAGAAGATTGCTCTCCCAAGGACAGGCCTGGGGTTCCCTGACAGGGTGGGGACCCTTACCCTCCAGGTCCTGAGGCAAACCACACTGTCTCCAGGAGTCCAGGCCCTGGAGCAGGGTGGAGTGGAGTGGAGTGGGCGGGGCGGGGTGGAGTGGGCGGGGCGGGGTGGAGTGCGCGGGGCGGGGTGGGATGGGGTTGGCTGCGTCCTCTCCCCTCTCCTCTGCCCCTCGGCCCGGGGAGATGTTCAAGATCGAGCCCCCTGTGCCCCCAACACTCCCCCCGGGACCTGCTGATGGCCGGGGCCTACACACCCAGGCGGAGCAGATAACATCCCACAGATGAGAACTGATAAGGGCCAGGCAGCGAAGCTGCTGGACAGGGAGGCCATCGCTCTGCACAGGCACTTCCTGAGTGACCAGGGGCAAGGCCAGCCCCTCCCTCTGTGCCTCGGTTTCCCCTCTTTAACAGAATCATGGGCTGGACTGTTCCCGCCCTTCCAGAGTGAAGATCTGTGTCTCATGTGTGTCCCTGTGGCCAAAATTCATCAGAGACCATTAGGGCAGAGGAGCAGCTCCCCAGCGAGGGGACTCTGCGGGCGGGACCCCTGCAGCCCTTGTGTGGGCAGATGGGGATGTGGACATGTCCACCTCCGGCCAAGCCCCCATTCCTTGAGCCTGGGGTCTGCATGGGACAGGGCCCTGCTGCCTGCCTGCCCCGAGGGGTCCCCTCCCCACCCGCTCCTGGAGCGGTGCCGTCTCTCCACTTTCTTGGGCTGCAGCTCTCGGCCTAATTATCCATAACCTTCTGTTCGAAGACCGCTGTCCTTGCCTGATAAAAACCAGTAACTTTGAAAGCAAACTGGGTCTTAATTTTCCTTGACAGCCCTGCTTGAAGCATGCGGGCCGAGCTGGGGTTTAATTAAATGCACATTCGTATTCCAAACAAATTAAGTACAATTAAGGACTCTGAGTTATGGGTATCTATCACTCCGTGATGTTTTTGTAAAAATTACCCCATCAAGATCAAAGTCGGAGGATCCCTGCCTTAATTGCTTCATTAGGGCGCCGTGCACCAGGCTTCGCGAGCGCCGGCCCTGGTGTCTCTCTGGGAATTACTCAAACGACGGCCCTCACAATAATTGCTTCCATATTTCTCTCCCGGAGACGTTCTGGGCTCCATGGATCAAATGCAATGGCTTCAGGAACACACCTCGGCTCAGGTCCCCTCGGCAACGGCCGAGGCGTTTTTATGGCGCCTGCTCTGAGGCCCCACTGGGCTGGCTGGTGGGTGGGCTGCGCCCCGCCCCACCCAGGCTTGGCCTCTGAGCCAGGGCAGCTGGTGGCCCAGGGAGGGGGGCCCGGGCCAGCTCACAGGTCCACCAGACAAGTGACCCCCGCCAGGCCTGCCCTCTGCTGGCTTGACAGCCATCCCGGGGCCCTCTGCACTGCCCAGCCTTTCCCTCCTCACTTCTTGCTTTAAGCCGTGTGGTGGGGAGAGGCATTCCCCACCCAAAGTCCTAGGTCTATAGGAAAAGCCACTTGCAAACGGCTGCCAGGGCTGAGACCATGCAGGGGCGGGGACCCTGGCTGGCTTTGGTTCTGAGCCCCTGAGGCCACTGGGCCAGGTGCAGAACCTCCCAGCCCCCAGGGCCTGGCCAGACACCACCAGACCCTTCTCTGGAACCCACTTCCCAGCTCTGGAGCAGAAAGGAAACGCAGCTGCTGCCCCCTGACCCTCCCTGACCCTCCTGGGAAGGGGTGCAGAGCCGTAGCCACCAGGGGCCCTCATCCTGGGCCCCAGCTTCTCTCACCCCTGAGTGGACGCAGAGTGGCCAGAACGGAGTCACCGGGGATCCAAGCAGCATTGCCGATGAAACAGAGGGTGCAGGCACCAGAGAACCTGGAGCCACAGGAACCACCTCCTCGGGCTGAGTACGCCCCGTGCAGGATCTAGAACATCCTTACCCCGAATAGGAGTCCTTGTTGATCTGAAGCTCACGTTTAACTGGGTGCCTGCACTTTCCTTGGCTTAATCTGGTCACTCCAGTGGGAGAAGAGGGAGAACTCGCTCTCACGGAGGCTCACCCTCTCCACAGATGCCCCGGGGCGTGAGGGCACCGGCACCCAGCCCTGGGGACCCTGCCTCCTGTCTGGCCCCAGGGCGGGGCCCGTGAGCCTCCTCAGGCACTCTCTGCCTCCACAGCCCTGCCTCCTGCGGCTTCCCCTTTGTGGAGGGGGTTGGGGGATACCTTGGCACCCACGTGGAGGCCGCCTAGGCCAGGGGTGTGCCCTATGGGGGTTTGGGGGTTGAATAATGTCCCCAAAAGATGTGTTGGAGTCCTAACCCTCAGGACCTGGGGATGCGGCCTTACCTGGAAGCTGGGTCATTGCAGACATCATTGGTTCAGATGAGGTTGTGTCTGAGTAGGGTGGGCCCTACTAGTGTGACTGGTGTCCTTATAAGAAGAAAACAGGCACAGAGACCCCCACAGAGGGAAGACAGCCCAGTGATGGTGGAGGAAGAGGTGGGAGAGAGGCGGCCACAGCCAAGAGCTGCCTAAAGCTCCCAGAGCCTGGAAAAGGCGGGAGTATCCTCTCCCAGAGCCTTCCCAGGGAGCCTGGCCCTGAACACCTGGATTTTAGGCTTCCAGCCCCCAGACCATGAGAGAATCAATGTGTATTGTTTTAAGCCGCAACAACTCAATGTGTGTTATTTTAAGCCACAATAACTCAATGTGTGTTATTTTAAGCCACGATAAATCAGTATGTGTTATTTTAAGCCACAATGCTTGTCTTTGTTGCAGCATCAACAGGAAACTCATCCACACCCCTGGGAGGATGAGGCTCGGGGGGGTGACAGGCACGCCCCTCAGCCTCAAGGCTCCAGAAGGGAGACAGGGGAGTGAGGGTGGGTGGGGCCACCTGCTCAGTCTGCGTCCTCCAGGGTGGGCCATCCATCTGGTCTTTGCTGGTGACAACACATTTCAGATGCCAGGCAGCAACCTCACCATAGCCATCCTCTGCCCCAGCCCCCCGTGGGTTCAGCCTGCCCTTCCCGTGGGACCCACAGGCAGGAAGCCAGGACCCCAGCCCCGGGCCCTGACCCATCTTGTGTCAGACAGCTCCCTTCCAGGGCAGCAGGTGCGCTGGGGTCCTGACTTCCATCACAGGCACCCTCTGGCTCGTACAGTGTGGGAAGCACTCCCCAGTGTGAGGGGTCACTGTGCCCAGAGCCACATGTGCTGGCCAGAGGGTGGAGGCAGAGAGAAGAGACTGGGGCTTAGGGACCCTCTGGAGTGGAGCGGGTCTGCAGAACGGGGGCCGGTGCCCCTCCAGCCCCTGCCATGGGCTCCTCATCCCCCAGGCCCAGGTGCCTCCCATCCCCTCACACACAGGGTCTCCCTACCCTCCTCTACCCCCCTCCACCCGACTCCACTTCCCCCCACCTGCCCCCACATCCCTCCACCTCCCTCCGCCACCCTCCACCTCCCTCCACCACCCTCCACCTCCCTCCACCTCCCTCCACCCCAGAACTGCCCTGCCCAGAAATGCCCCACCAGGAAATGCTCCTGCCTGGAACTTCAATGCAGGGCCAGGGGCCTCCCTCCAAAATCTCCAGGCCATTCTCTGTCTGCTGCTTGGTCACCCTCACCAAGCATGGGACACAGGCCCCAGGTCCCCAAAGCTCAGCCCCCACCCTTGGCTTTGGGGCTCCCACTTCCTCACCTTCCTCAGCCCCCGGCCACCCCTTCCTGGTCCTCCCATCACCTGTTCCCCTGAGCCCCAACGGCCTACCTGGCCTCAGCCCTCAGGGTGTCTGCTGAACTAGCAATGTCCACACTCAGCCAGGATTGACCCCGACAGTCCTCAGGGCAGGGACAGGGACAGGGACAGTGACAGGGACAGAAGGGGCCCCAGTACCTGAATCAAGGCCCCAAGTCACCGTCCCCCACCCATAAAGATGAAGTTCCTGCTATGTCCTCGGGGCCCTGGGAGCCAGGGCGGCCTTCTGTGTCCATCCCATGGCCACTTCCAGTCCTGCCCCCACCCTGTAACCACGCTCCCCACTAACACAGCGCTGGCGGCTGCCTCCCAGATCCTAGCATCATTTCCCAAAGCTTGATGTCTGGGGGTGCTCCTGGGAGTGGCAGGCACATCCCAAGGTGACCCCAAGTCACCCCCTGTGTGACCACTGCTCTGCCCTCAGCACTGTCCTCTCCAAGCTGGGGCTGGAGTGGCAGGTTAGGGGAGGTGCTGCCCACACGCTTCCTCTGGCCCAGAGCTGCACCCACCACAGGGGTGCACATTTGACGGGCCACCTAGTGTGGCCCCAAGCATGGCGTGGGCATTTGTGGGAGTGTGAGATCGTGGGGTGACAGGCTCCTGAGTGGGGGATGCACTGGCCGGGTGTGAGGGTGGACAATGGGTCTCATCTGGGAAACAGCCTAAAGGGGGATGAGTTGGAACCGGAAATTCTATACCCAGAGCCCTCTTCTTCCCCCTCCCCACCCCTCCTCACCCTCTCCTTCCCCCACCCCCATCCTCAGCCCACAGCACAGAAGGTCCCACACCAGCATCACCTGAGCCAGGAAAGTCGTGTCTGACCGCAGAGGTGCTGGGTGGGGTCTGCAGGGCCGGCCACAGGGGAATGGAGCACAGGGTGGTTCCGGGGCAGATCTTCAGGAAGATGCTGGGCAGGGCCTGGCAGTGTCCAGTGCAGCCACAGATCCTGGGCCTGGGGTTGGAGCCGTCCTTGTAGTTGTGGACACAGACGATGGGGAGTAGACTGGCTGGGTCAGTGTTGGTCACTCGGAAAATGAGTCCCTGTGGCGGTAATAAATGTGTCAGGAAAACCGAGGTCTCAGGAAGCCCTGGTTGGAGGCACGTCCTGCCCACAAACAATGATGTACATTGAAACAGTGGCTCTGCTGGGGCGCTGGGAGCCTGGGAGGCTGGGAGGCCGGGAGGCTGGGAGGCTGGGAGCCTGGGAGGCTGGGAGGCCGGGACACTGGGAGACTGGGAGGCTGGGAGGCTGAGAGGCTAGGAGGTTGGGAGGCTAGGAAGCTGGGAAGCTGGGAGGTTGGGAGGCTGGGGCCCTGGAAGGCTGGGAGGCTGGGAGGCTGGTGTGCTGGGGTGCTG